TGGGTCTCTGGCAGTTACTATCCATTGCCCAAATAACTCTGTGTATGTGAAATCGGCCCGTGTGCCTTTTCATCTGCATCTCTCTCCTCAGAGCAGACTGATGAAACCATTTACCCCTGAGACAGGCTCCCCAACCCTTTTCTTCCTGTTCGTTATACTTACCTGTGATTAAAATGTGCAGATAAGATAGTGGCCTGAGGATGTAGCTCAGTGGTAGTGTTGCCAGACAACTTAAGTCTGTGGCTGTAACTAGCCTCTCAGGTTCATTACACACAGGAGAAAATGATAGCCCTGTGAGGTCCTAGGTTTGCTCTGCAGTGCTGGGCAGAAAAAAAACGATAAAGACCCTGGAGCTGATCTGGGAAGATAGCTAGGGGGTAAAGGGCTTACTGGGCAAGCTTAAGGATCTAACTTCACATCTCCCGAACAGATGTGAAGCTGGGCCCTGTGGTGTGGCTCTGTAATCTCAGTGGTCCCATTGTGAGACAGGAGACACCCTGGGAGCTCACAGGCCAGCTGACCTGGTGTATACAATAGTGAAAGACAGAGACTCTGTCTCAAAACAAGGTGGAAGGTGAGGACCACACCCCAGGTTGTCCTATGACTTTCACACGTGTGCAGCTACACTCACATGAACACACACACACACACACACACACACACACACACACACACACACACACTCTTTCTCATATACACATACACACTCTCTCCTTTCCCCCACACAAACTCTCTACACACACACACACACACACACACACACACACACACACTCTTACACATAACACTCACACACACTCTCACACACAACACACACATAAACTCTCTACACACACACACACACACTCACACTCTCATATACATACACATACACTCTCACACACGCACACATAATCTTTCTCTCTCCACACACACACACACACACACACACACACACAAACACACACACTCTTTCTCATATACACATACACACACTCTCTCCTTTCCCCCACACAAACTCTCTCTCTCCACACACACACACACACACACACACACACACACACACACACACACACTCATACATACACACTCTCATATACATACATACACTCTCTCACACACGCACACATAATCTCTCTCTCTCTCTCTCTCTCTCTCTCTCTCTCTCTCTCTCCACACACACACACACACACACACACACACACACACACACACACACACACATACACACACACCAGAACCAGGAGAGACCACGAATCAGAAAAGAAACTGGGTTTATTACAGTCTGGCCAAACCAGAGAGAAAATTAAACCTAAACTTCCTAACTTCTCCCCAGCTTTCCTGGGCAGTCTTACAACCTACAGAAAGAGTGAAGCAGAGTTGAGGAAATAGATGACAAGTGTAGCTTTGAGACAAGTTACCTGTCCTCTCCTGGGGGTTGGGGGTGGGTGGGCGGCTTTCCCATGACCTCCATTTTCAGCATGCAAATTCTGTTGTACTGTCAAGTCTGACACTTGCCTAGCAGGCTCAAGGCCCTTAATTTAACAACAACAACAACCCACAAAGAACCAGCCAACCAACTGACCGGCCAACCAAACAACCAAAACAAAATCAAAGGCAGGAAATTTAGTTATAAACACATTTAGTTTTAAATTTTTAGCAAAAATAAAAAACAAAAAAAACCCCGTTGGGTAGTAACAGAACTGTCCGAGGCCACAGAGAGAGGAAAGAACAGAGGCTGCTTTCGAAGGAGAAGTGGTGAGTGGACTGACTTCCTCTTGTCCTGAATTGTGCAGAAGAATGTGTAACACTAACGGTGAAGCAACTTCCCGAGCAGGGGCTGAGCGGGGCCCAGTAAGAGGCATCTTCAGGCAGCCCTGGCTTCCCAAGGGGAGCATGTGGAACCGGGTTTGGACAGATGGTGTCAAGATTTCAAAGCGAAGGGAAAAGGTCTGTGTAGGCAATGCTTAGGAGAGGAATACCTCAGCAGGAGACAGCTGCTGACAGGAGGCTGGCCTGTCCAACACGCCCGTTCTCCTCGCCTTCGTAACCTGGCTTTACTCTACGGAGCAATGCATTCTAGTCACGTCACGCTTACTCTCGGAGCCAAGACGCTCTGTAATTTGCTGTAGTAGGAAGACTTTTACTTCTTTGTAGGAAAGAGAAAAGTTGTCCTCATTCTTTTGTGATTTGGTTTTCAGGTTTCTTTTCCCTTCTCAAGAGCAGAACCGGAAAGTAGGGTATGCTAATACCAGATAGGGGTGCCTCAGTAGTTGGAGAAGCAGTCAGCAGAGGAAAGTCTAATTTATTTTTAATAAAGACCCATTTGTATGAATAGCCATGAGAGTTCTAACCTCTGACAGAAGTCCACAAATATTGTCTCACCTTGGAGCTCTTGACAGACATGGGCATCAGAGAATTCCGTTGACCTTCTACACTGTGCCACAAGTTTCTATCAAGACAACTAAATGCAACAGCATTATGGTACATTTAATGTCAACGCACAAAAAGCAACTTGTAGAAACTACTCATAATTTTATAGTTTAAGCTAGGCAGTGGTGGCACACGTCTCTAATCCCAGCACCCGGGAGGCAGAGACAGACATCTCTGAGTTCAAGGCCAGCCTGGTCTACAGAATGAGTTCCAGGACAGCCAGGGCTCCACATAGAAACCCTGTCTCGAAAAACAAACAAACACAAAACAAAACAAAAAGCAAATAATTTCACAGTTTACATTTCTAATTGGTACCAGTCACAGGGCAGCTACCGTCTGCTCTTTGCTTAGACCTGTTTGGACCAGTTTCTTTCTAACTCATCCTAAATTTTCCAATTACTTCAGAACTTCAGCATTTATTTTTTTTGAGACAGAGTTTTTCTCTGTGTAGCTTTGGAGCCTGTCCTGGAACTCACTCTGTAGCCCAGGCTGGCCTCGAACTCACAGAGATTCACCTGCCTCTGCCTCCCGAGTGCTGGGATTAAAGGTGTGGACCACCACTGCCCAGCCGAATTGTTTGGTTTTAAGGAAAAAAAAAATCCCTCAGCTTTCTCTGCTATGTTTAGAATTCCTATGAGGAACTATTAGTAGTTGAAAAAAAAAGTTATCTAAACTCAGGGATCTTAACACAGTGTGATGATGCTGGCCGTGCTGAGATTTTTTTTTTTTTTTTTTTTTTTTGGTCATTCATGTCTGGAAGCACAAAGAGGTGGGTTTCCAGAAAAGGCTGTATTTTCTTGTACCGTCAAGACAGTGGGAAGAGGGGTGACTTTGGCGGTTTCACTTTGACTTGCAGTGGGGCTTGGTTCCTGGTGGAATGTGCTATCAGATGCAGCAGATTCTCTGGTTTTCCAAGCCAGCATGCACTGACGTTTCTGGGACTCAGGTGTGCAAAATAAATGAAACTTGGCTGGAGAGATGGCTCAGGGGTCAAGAGCACTTGCAGGTTTATCAAAGGACCTGGCTTTGGTTCTTAGCACTCACAGGGTGGGTAACAACTGTCTGTGATTCCAGTGGCAGAGGACCTGATACTCTCTTCTGGCCTCAGTGAGCACTATATGTGGTACACAGACACACATATAGGCAAAACAATAGTACGCATAAAATAAATAAATCTTAAAAAAAAAAAGGCTGGAAATGGTGACTTGTGCCTTTAATCCCAGCACTTGTGAGGCAGAGGCAGTCAGATATCTGTGAGTTCAAAGCCAGCCTGGTCTATGCAGTGAGTTCCAGGCTACCAGAGCCACACAGTGAGAAAGCCACAAGCAAAAGATGTAATAACATTTAGAAGCTGGCAAAGCAAAGGGACTAATTCTTTCCTAGGGTCTGGAATGAAACGCAGGTGTGCTGGCATCCTTAATTATAACTCAGTGAGAATTCTAAGAGAATATACTTGAGTCATTTTAAGCTCTGGCTTTTGTGATAATTTGTTACAGAAATAACAGTAATTAATATAGGATCACAGTATAACATAGGTACTGCTGCTATTAGTATTTATAGTTGGGGAAACTGAGATAGAAAAGGATTAGGTTTTGCCTAGTGTCACAAGCTGTGAAGTGATATCCATCAAGGAATGTTGTTTGGGACACTTGTCTTCAGAGCTCATGTTCTCAACTACTAACCGATTCCATCTCCCAGAATTTCCTCGGGAGGAGGAAGGAGAAAGGCTTGTGGTAGTAGTAGAGGCCCAGGGAAGGGAGTGAGTCTGGCAGCTGGCTAGTGTAAAGCCTGCCTGACTTGGAGGGAAGCTCAAAGCTCCTGGATTAATGGAAACCAGAAAATAGTTGTCCCCCAGGGTAGGTTTGAATTCTCTTCTGATTAATCTTCCATCATTGCTTTGATCATGACAAACTGGTTTACATGGTGTCCTAGATACAGGTTGTTAAGCAAGACTCTTTTTCTACATGAATTCCTTTGCTCAAGCAGCTACCACTACCTGGGAGCACTTGGGTTCAACAGCCCTGCCACTAAATGAGACATTGCCCCAGGGCTCTTTTTTTTTTTTTTTATCCCGCCAGCAAGTGCCTTTGTCTCCCTCGCCTTTCCCCCAGACGTTTAATAGTTTATGTCCAATATGACTAACCTCGGTGAACTTGCATCAGGCAGTGGCCACGATCTATCCAGAGCAGTCGTGATAAAGAATTTTTGTTCGTTCCTGAAATAGATCTTAACGACCCACTCAGTTTTGATTTTCGCGAGAGCATTTGCCTTTCTCTGACTCCCCACTATTAAAAGCCCATCAGGCGCTCTGGTAGCTTCTTTAGAGTGTGACTAAGGGTCACCTCCGCATTGCTACGGTACCTGCAGCGTGCAGCTGAAGCTCTGGCAACTAGTACACTAATATAGGTCTCTACATAACCAAGGGTGGGTCGCGAGGAAAGACAGAGGCCGTGGCCGGTTCCCCCGCGGTCCGCGCTACCTCCCCAGGGGCGGGCCCTCCCGAGGGGCGGGCCCCACCCTCTGCGCCCCACCCAGACAGGCCCCGCCCCTCCCCGCAAGCCCCGCCCCGCGGAGCCGCGCCGCGCTTGCGCCACCTGCCGCTCGCTCCTGAAGTCCGCGCGGCGCCGCGCCCGCCCGGCCGGCGCCTCCGCTTCCAGCCAAGATGGCGGAGAGCGGCGAGGCTCTGGGCACGGTCCCGGAGCACGAGCGGATCTTGCAGGAGATCGAAAGCACCGACACCGCCTGCGTAGGGCCCACCCTCCGGTAAAGCTTTCATCTGCCGCGGCTCTCGGGCCGCCCTGGCCAGGGACTCCTTGGGAGCCGGGCGGGGCGTCTGCTGCCGGGGGGGGCGCGCGCGCGCGCGTCGGCCCGACAGGTGGTGCGCGCGGGGGCGGGCGCTCGTGGGCTGCGGGACCCGGAGGGAGGGCCGGGGCACCTGTCACCGCGCCGCCTGTGGGTGTGGCTGCTGGGGTGTCTCTGACCCGGGGAGCCGCCCCAGCCTGGGGCCTTGATGTGCCGAGGCCCTGACCCCGAGAGCGCTGTGTCGGCGGCGAGGCTGTCGGCTCTGTTGCTGGGGACGAAGGTCACCTGCCTGCCGGCGGCCGGCGTGACCGACCCGGGTGCCGAGTTGAGATCTGGAGGAAACCCGGGCGCACTGACTGCTCCGGGCGTGGGAGAATTGAAATGGAGCGGGAGACGCCAGCACCTTTCTCCCCGGTTGCAGCACCCGTCTCCTCGGGCGAGACGCGAGCGTGGGCTGCAGAGGAGGAGCCCATGGCTCGGGTTCACGCTGGGGTGACGATGCTCTTGGGACAGGAAGCTTTTACTTATTGACAAGCATTTTACTAGTTTTGCATTACATTTCCAGTTTATTTTAAAATGGATCCTAACCCACTCTCTTAAGGAATAGTACCAGGTAGTGAATATTCCATACCAGATGGAATACTTGCTGTCCCAATCGAATATTAGCTGCTACCTGTACAGAACCATTAACAATAGATTAGACACTCTTCAAGACTTAAGGTCTCATCTTTCACAGTTAGGATGAATGAACTTGTTCACTTAGGGAATTTGAGACGAATTGTGCCTTGTCAGTACTCTTTCTTCGGAATACACTTCCTGGAAATGGAACTCTGTTTTCTCCACGTTAAGTGTAGATAAAGTGAAGTCAGTTTGCATTGCAAATTCACTTTACCCTAGAGAGCCAGTTCGTCTGGTATACTTTGTTTCTTTCCCGTAGACATGCCACGGATGACTGTAAAAGTCATTCAACCCCCTTGGCCTTGTTTCCGTGTTTGTAGAATGGGAAGGAGTGTTGAGATGCCCAGGAAGCCCAGAACATGAGGATTGCCTGTTCTGTGCTGTGCTGCTACCTCCAAGCACTCAATAGGCAGGTTATATGTTCTTACTGTACAGAGTTCTGCTGTGATATGGGAAGGCCTCATTAGTACCCTTTCTTAATTTACTTACATGAATCTTCTCACCAAACTGTACATACATACTAGTAAAAATATGAATCAGACTCCAAGAAACCTTGGTGACAACAGATTGTACTGAAGGACCTCTGTAGTCTCATAGAGGGACAGCCGATCCTACCAAACTGTACATACATACTAGTAAAAATATGAATCAGACTCCAAGAAACCTTGGTGACAACAGATTGTACTGAAGGACCTCTGTAGTCTCATAGAGGGACAGCCGATCCTTAACTTGTTTAATGAAGCAATTGATTTGTGATTCAGTACTGCTTTTATTTGTCACGGATCAGAACATGTACTTTTGGTTTTGGTAGCTGCCCAGCCAATGACGGTGGAATAGAAAATGAATCCTTATTATGTTGTGTTACTCCTGGTCTTGAGGAGGCTGGAAACCAAGTCCCTTTGTTGGATCTTAGGGATGACTCTGACACCAGGCTGGCCATCACCCCAAAGCAGAGGCCTGTAAAGGTCAGCAGGTTTAAAGGTTTTTTTAGACTGTCTCACTACATCCCCCTGGCTGTCCTAGAACTTACTGTGTAGATCAGGCTGGCCTTGAACCCATAGAGTTCTATGTGTGTTGAGATTAAAGGTCTGTGCCACATTCCTGGTCAAGTTTTAAATTATATATTGTCTAAGTAAGATTAAGAGTTTTTTTTTTTTTTTGAATTTAGACAATAACTGTAGCTTGACTGTGTGGAGCTTGCTAAATAGACCAGGCTGGTCCTGAATTTGTAGCATGTTCTGCCTCTATTTCCCAACTGCTGGGATTGCAGGCTTGCACCCCCAAAACAATGGATTTACCACAAAACAAACGAAATGTTAGTGTACCATCCACTTCTTTCCTACGTTTACCTGCTTAGGATGGTTGGGGAGATATTCAAACATCCTGACGTACATTAGAGAATGATCTAGTGACTGTGCAGGTGTCTACCGTATAGCTTTATTGGATGTCAGTGTTCCTTAGATCTCTCTCTCTCTCTCTCTCTCTCTCTCTCTCTCTCTCTCTCTCTCTCTCTCTCTCTCAAGATTTATTTTGTATACAGTGGTCTGCCTGCACGTGTACCTGCATACCAGAAGAGGGCACCAGATCTCGTTAGGTGGTTGTGAGCCACCATGTGGGTGCTGGGAATTGAACTCAGGACCTCTGGAAGAGCAGCCAGTGCTCTTCACCTCTGAGCCATCTCTCCAGGCCTAGATTTTTTTTTTCTTTTCTTATCTGAGACCTAGATTATAGGTAGGATTGTGATTCCTGCCGTAGCCTTCCTCAGTTCTCTTCACCTCATCAGGTCTCATGATCTGAGCAGGGTCTAACAGAATGAAATAGCAGAGGAAAGCTGAGTTCCCCCTCGAAATTATTTCATTTTATTTTATGGGTATGAGTGTTTTTCCTGCATGCATGTCTGCACTATATGTGAGCCAGGTGCTGAGGGTGTCAGATCTCCCGGAGCTGGAGTTACAGACAGTTGTGAGTCACCATGTGGGTTCTGGGAATCTGGGAAGAGCGGCCAGTGCTCTTAACCACTGAGCCTTCTCTCCAGCCCCCGAGTTCTCTCTTCTTGTGCTGGGCCACAGATCTTCTGTCTTCGGATACTGGAGCTTCTGAACTCTTGGACTCATAGGAGTCCCTGTGGTTCCCAGGCCTTCTGATTTCCACAGAATTGTATTCCTGGTCCTGTGCTCCAGCTTTCCCAGAGCCTGTCATGGCCGTTCTCCCTTCACTTCAGTTCATCTTCCTCCCTCCTCCCTCTCCTCTCTTTCTTTCCCTTTGATGAGGGGGAATCTCACTTTGCTACTGAGAATGGTCTCCAACTTCTTGGCTCCAGTAATTATTCTGTTTCTGTCTCCTGAATGCTAGGATTACAGTGTGTGATAGTATGTTCTGACATGGGTTTGATTTTTTGAAACTTAAATGTAACTTACTATGTTTGTGTGAGTATATGATGTGCCCCGCACCCCGTGTGTGAATGTGTGTGTGTATATATGTGAGTGTGTGTGTGTGTGTGTGTGTGTGTGTGTGTGTGTGTGTGTGTGCTCGGCGTGCATGGGCACTTGCCATGGTGTGCCTGTGGAAGTCACAGAGCTTTATTTGGATTCCAGAGGTTGTACTCAGCCTGTCATGCTTGTGCAGCAAGTACTTTTACCTACGGAGCCGTCTTGCTGGTCCTCATGTTAATTTTCAATGCAGTAATATTGTTAGCTGTAATCCATATAAGCAAAAGCTTTGTGGACTTTTCTGTAAGATTTTAGAGTGTGAAAGAGAACAAAAAATGGAGAATTATTCTTACCTTTTTTTCTTCTATCTGTCTGTCTGTCTGTCTGTCTATCTATCTCTCTCTCTATCTATCTTTGTACCTCACACTTACTCGGTAGCCCAGACCAGCCTGGAATTCACTATAGTCCTCTTCCATCAGCTTTCTGAGTGTTGAGATTACAAGGACTGGCCACCAGCTCTGGAAAAAACACACAAAAGCACAGTTGCGTTCTCTGTCATCATTTTTCCTACTATGATTTTTAACTTCTGCTTATAATTTCAACTTTTGCCCAATGAATATGTTTCATATCAAAACTACCGGAGCAATACTACAATCAGACTAGTAAAGCCCATGAGCACACGACCTTCTGAAGTTACAAATATCCGTCACGCACTTTCACTAAGTGGAGAAACAAACACTTGCATTAACTAACCTATATATAAAGAAGGCCTCTGCAGGACATATAAAAAGGAGAAACAGAGTATATAATTCAGTTGTGTTTGGTTGTCGGTTCTAGTATTCTCTTGTACTTAACTGGATGATTGAATGATTATTAATTAAATATCTAGCTTTTAAAGTTACTTGAAGATCTTGGTAATTATTTTTAGACCTATTAAAAAGTAATGATTCAGTTTATTTGAGCATAAACTTGCCTTTTTCATAATATTAGTATTATTCAAGTAATGCTAACTTACTTGATCAGCAGGTAAATTGTTAAGAAAACCTTAATTGAATAAAATGATCAAAAATAAGAAATAGCCTATTTTATAAATAAATTATCACACTAGGATTGTTTGCCAAGGTTCTACTGTCATGCAACATTGAGCATTTAAACATTTCTGAGTTAATTTCTGTAGGAAGAATATTTGATTTTTTAAAATAATCAACACATTTAATATAGTGAAAGTCCAGTTTCCTTATTTTCTTGGAATTGAGTAGTCCTCCTTCCTTCCTTCCTCCCTCCCTCCCTCCCTCCCTCCCTCCCTCCCTCCCTCCCTCTCTCTCTTTCTTTCTTTCGATAGTTGTAGTTCAGGCTAGTTCTGAACTTCTGTAATGCCTCCTGCTAAGCCTCCCGAGTGCTGGGATCAAAGGTGTGCACTGCTGAGCGTGGCTCGTTTGTATCAGTAAGCCAACTAGAAGAGTGCTCCTTTAAACCAGGCCTTTCTAAAATAAATTATCAATGCCTTCTAAAGCTAAGCCTTTGTACAGATACAGGGAGAAGGTGAAATCCTTCCTGATTGTAAATGCGTTTCAGTAACTTTAGTCAAGAGACCTAAGAGTCGCTGGTAGAAAAACTTGTTGGTCCAGGGGTTGGAGAGGTGGCTTGGTAAGTGCTTGCCGTATAAGCGTGGGGACTTGAGTTTAGATACGAAATTGTTCAACTCCAGGTTCAGGAGAGATACAGTCTCAAAGACTACGGTAGAGAGCAGTTAAAGGCACATGGTGCGGATCTCTGGAGTCCACACAGATGTGCACACACACACCCCCCCCCAGTGTACACATTACACCCCCCTACACACACACACACACACCC